GAGGACCTTAACCACTTGCGCCACCGCGCCGGGCCCAGTTTTCATCTTTCTGACCATCCAGCATCTCTTAAACTTCTTGGCGTTTTGTTTTCTCTGGGTTCCCCAGGTTGACGACATTTTGAATGTGTAGCTTCATTATTGCTGAATTTTACAAAATAGCAACCCTGATCTCTTTTGTTTTTAAGCATGTTTAAAATGAAAACAAATGCAACTATGTCATTGTTAACTTCTTGAGACTACTCTTTTGTTGTATAAATCCTTGCATATGTTTTTCTGTTTTACTTCAGAATGGGAAATACACCTTAAGAACAAGGGACCAGCACTTTGGCAGGACATTTTTTGGTCACACAGTCCAAACGGGATGCAACTGGTAAGATACACAGCAGACAATGCCTTACTATCCACATTCAGAGTGACTGGAAATTTCATGATAGGAATCACAAATGGCACATTTTTAAAAATTAGTTTTTCAGATTTACATAAAGTGAGCAAATTTCATTAATTTCATCTGTGCAGTTTTAAGAGCCTTATGCTACTTCCTATCCTGTCCTCCCTCCCTCTCTCCTTCCTTCCTTCATTTCTCTTGGAATTTGTACAATGGCATACTTTCTGATTGTTTTATCATCACAAGCTTAACCTTCCACCAGACAAAGAATTCAGGAAGTAGGAAAGTAGGCCTCCTGTGGAGCTTGGTGCCTTGGCATTCACTTGTCCCAGTGACAGCCAGACATTTGCTTTTAAAAATAAGTTTGTGAAAGTCTTGTAGGAATCTTTTCAAGATTAGTGCAGGTAGCACTAATCTCTTTCAAATTCAAGGAAAATCCAGAGGGTAAGAACTGTGTGCACATGATGGAAATAGTGAAACTCATTGTCCTCCTCCTGTTGCTCTCCTATGACTAAAATCTATTTAATATGTTTGACAATGAAAACATTCAGCACTTATTTCTGTCAATAGGCAAGAAGCCAGAATGGAGTGGGACTCTGTGACTCTAATGCTTATAGTGAAGTCTTCAGAGAGTGCCTGGGCCTTCTGACACTCCTGAGTGCTCCAAATAGGAGGGACACATGTCCATATGGTCAGCATGCAGAAGGCATCCCTACTCTGCTCAAGAACCCTGGAGAGAGCTTTCCAGTGTTCAGTGAGGATGGGAAAGACTTGAGTGTGACCCGGCGTGTTTACCAGACTGCGTGCAGCGACCACGGCCCAGCCCTCGCAGCCCCAGCACACTGTCAGGCGTGTGGGAAGACCCACAGTGCTGGGGAGCTGTCTGCCTGGAAGCAGTGTGCTAGCACTTTCCCCTCCTCCGTTAGCCACGCAGATATACGTGTGCAGGCAGGCACCAGAAGAAAATCCCACGAGTGTGAGGAGTGTGGGAAAAGTTTCAGGTACTCCGCCAACCTTAATATTCACATGCGAACCCACACGGGGGAGAAACCTTACCAGTGTAAGGAATGTGGGAAAGCCTTCTCTAGGTTTTACCCATTAACTCAACATCTGAAAACTCACACAGGAGAGAAGCCCTTTGAATGCAAGGTATGTGGAAAATGCTTTAGAAATTCCTCCTGCCTCAACGACCACTTCCGCGTTCACACCGGATTAAAGCCATATAAATGCAAGGACTGCGGCAAGGCTTTCACTGGGCGCTCTGGTCTCAGTAAACACTTGCCGACTCACACTGGAGAGAAGCCGTACGCATGCAAGGAGTGCGGGAAAGCCTTCACCACATCCTCGGGCCTTATCAAGCACGCGCAGACACACACGGGGGAGAGGCCCTTCGAGTGCTACCAGTGCGGCAAGGCCTTCGCCTCCTCCTCCTCTCTCATTACCCATCTGAGAATCCACACCGGAGAGAAGCCTTTCGAGTGTCACGCGTGTGGGAAGGCATTCACGTGTTCCTCCTACCTTCGTATCCACATGCGTACTCACACCGGAGAGAGGCCCTACACCTGCAAGGAGTGTGGGAAGGCCTTCACGGAGCGCACGTGCCTCACCAAGCATTTGCGAACACACACTGGGGAGAACCCCTTCGCGTGCAGCATGTGTGGGAAGGCATTTGCGTGTTCGTCCTACCTGCAGAACCACGTGCGAACTCACACCGGGGAGAAGCCTTACATCTGTAAGGAGTGCGGGAGAGCCTTCACCGTCTCCTCACATCTCAGCAAACATACAAGAATTCACACCGGAGAGAAGCCCCATAAGTGTAAGGACTGTGGGAAGGCCTTCACCGTGCGCTCGGGCCTCACCAAACACTTGCGGACACACACCGGGGAGAAGCCCTACATGTGCAAGGAGTGCGGGAAAGCCTTCACCACGTCCTCCGGCCTCATTGAGCACGCACGGATCCACACGGGGGAGAAGCCCTTCGAGTGTTACCAGTGCGGCAAGGCCTTCGCCTCCTCCTCCTATCTCATCGCCCATCTGAGAATCCACACCGGGGAGAAGCCCTTCGAGTGTCACGCGTGTGGGAAGGCATTCACGTGTTCCTCCTACCTGCAGAACCACATGCGTACTCACACCGGAGAGAAACCTTACGTGTGTAAGGAGTGTGGGAAGGCCTTCACCGTGTATTCACACCTCAGTAAACATGTGAGGACTCACAGTGCGGAGAAGGCCCACAAACAGAAAGCGTGCGGGCAAGCGTCCAGGAATCCTGCCCATCTTTCTGAATGCCTGCAGACACGCTGGGGGGAAAACCTTTGCAGGTGAGGAACGGAGTCCTCAGGCCTCAGCACTTTCGAGTTCTGATCCAGAGGGGCCGTGCTCATTGCCAAGACTGAAAACGTAGCTGAAGATGTCCCATGCATCTCAGGAACACGGGAAAGCTGCTGGCATCTCCTGTCTGTCCAGCAGGTAAGGCTGCATGTGCAAGCCATCCGGTGGTCCAGAACATGGAAAGCCCTTACCAGTGCTTGGGGTCTTGCTCAGTGTGAGCTCTACAGTGGAGAGAAAGCCTAAACCTGTAAGATGTGGCCAAGCTTAGGCCTGAGTGCTTTGAGGTTCACAGTGGTCAGCCATGTCAGAACGTCGCTTTCAAGTGACATGTTCTTCAGGGTTCGCATGGGACATGAAAAATGCTCCCCTGTGTTCAAGAGCATGGATGTCTTGGCTTTATGGATTTATTTTGAACATCCGATTGTTTGAATATTTGAAGTGTTTTTAAAAATATCTGTGTTTTAAACTTCTCTGCTACATCCAATCTCTACTACAGTTTTCCTTTTAAGGTGCATAGCCAGGTGGTGACATACGTATACATTGTGAAACTGAATAAAATATTCCTTGCTTGACATTGTGATGTTTTATTTTTGGTGTTTTGAAAACTCTTTTGCCTTAGGAGGTTTTAGGTATGTAGCATTAAGTGTGGTCAGCACGCTATATGAAAGTGTCTCTTCTTGGTCTTTACTGACACTTTCAAGAACTTTTCGTTCCCCCAGCATCCAGCCCCTCATAGCCACTGTTTCTTTCTGCTCTTCGGTGAATCTGAGTTGTTTTTGGATACCACATTTTAAGTGTGGTCATGCAATATTTGTATCTGGCTTCACATAGTATAGTGACAATTGGCCGAAATTTATTCTTTATTTAAGGATGTTTTCCCAATTTTTTAATGTTAGTATAGAGAAACTGCTGATTTTTGTATGTCCACCCTGACGTTATAAAGGAAACACTTTACTGGTTGTAGTAGCTCCCCATCCTTGGCACAGACAGCACAAATATGTTAACTCAAAGTTCCCGTTGGCTGCAATTCAGCATCTGACAAAGTAGAAATCAACTATTAGGAGTTGACCATGGTGTGTTGATAAATGAAAAGAAGGGGAAAATAAAGATCTAAATACTGGATTGTTGGGGCATTGGATGGATGAGCAGGCTTATCAATGGGGGAATCATACTAAGTGCTCCAGGAAGTGGCTTGGAACCAGGTTCTGTGCGCCCTCCCCCTGCTGAGGTTTGCTCGGAGATTTGGCCTTGGCCAGGAGAGCTCCACCTCCTGGGTACAGCCCCGCCCCTGCTCTGGCTCCGCCCAGAGGCCTCTCACCCCAGGCCACGCCCAGAGGCCTGGCTCTCAGCCCCGGCCTGGCCACGCCCAGAGGCCTGGCTCTAGGCTCCGCCTCTGCCTCCCTTGCCCAGTGCTGTTCAGGCCGGAACCAAGTAGGCCTGGTCCACCGGCTCCTGTCCGACCCTCAGCCCCGCACTTCCAGGTTCTCAAAGACGTGACATGGGCAAAGCGCGGCCCAGTTGTGCCCCTCTGTCCTCCTTCCCGAGAGGAAGAGAATATGAAAAAGAAGAAAAAATATATGAGGCCATTTCCAATATCTCTGTATCATGCCAAATTATCAATATTATAAGGAGTGGGCCCGGCGCGGTGGCACAAGTGGTTAAGTCCTCGCCTTGCACGCCCGGGAGCCCATATGGGTGCCGGTTCTAATCCCGGCAGCCCCGCTTCCCTTCCAGCTCCCTGCCTGTGGCCCGGGAAAGCAGTCGAGGACGGCCCAAGCTTTGGGACCCTGCACCCACGTGGGAGACCCGGAAGAGGCTCCTGGCTTCGGATCGGCATAGCATCGGCCGTTGCGCTCACTTGGGGAGTGAATCATCGGACGGAAGATCTTCCTCTCTGTCTCTCCTCTCTGTATATCCGCCTTTCCAATAAAAAAATAATAAAAATAAATCTTTAAAAAAAAAAAATAATAATATTATAAGGAATAAGACATTCATTAGACACATTTTTTAAAGAAATTCACTCCTGTGTCTGCCTATGAAAAAAATATACATATTTCTTTGTTTTTTTTCAGTAAGTGCTGTTCACAGAGGTATGGCTCACTTACAAGAAAGGGCTTCTCTCGGATGTTCTCAAGTCTGCACACAAGACTAGCCCAGTTTCCGACCTTCTTATGTTGGCAAGTGTCTTCCCCATGAGATCTTCCGAGCTGCAGACACGCGCGCGTGCCTTGCCTTTAGCTGTTTTCTCAAGCATGTGTCTTCAGGTGTCTCCGGAAGTAGGCAGGACAGACGAAGGCTTTTCCGCATTCCTCACACTCGTACGGCTTCTCTCCAGTGTGGCTCCTCATGTGTCTTCGGAAGGATGAGGGGCAGCTGAAGGCCTTCCCGCACTCCAGGCACTCAAAGGGCTTCTCTCCAGTGTGCATTCTTGCGTGGACAGTGAGGTAGGAAGAATGGCGAAAGGCTTTCCCGCACTCCTTACACTCGTAGGGCTTCTCCCCAGTGTGTGTTCTCATGTGGATCCTCAGGGCCGAGGGGTAAATGAAGGCCTTCCCACATTTCTTACACGCGTAGGGCTTCTCTCCGGTGTGTGTCCTGACATGGACCGTGAGGTGGGAGGCGCTGATGAAGGCCTTGCCACACTCCTTACACGTGTAAGGCTTCTCTCCACTGTGCGTCCTTAGGTGCTCCGTGAGGGATGAGGAGCGGCTGAAGGCCTTGCCACACTCCTTGCATTCATACTGGATCTTTGCAGGGTGATCTTTCACGTGTGCTCGGAAGGAGGAGGGACAGCTGAAGGCCTTGCCACACTCCTTACACTCACAAGGCTTCTCTCTGCTTTGATTTTTCACGTGTGTATTAAGGGAGGTGGGCAGATAGAAGGCTTTCCCACACTCCAGGCATTCGTAGGGTTTCTCTCCAGTGTGTTTCCTCATGTGGATACTCAAGGAGGAGGGGCAGTTATAAGCTTTTCCACACTCCTGGCATTTGTAGGGCTTCTCTCCTGTGTGTGTTCTCACATGTACGGTGAGTTTGGAAGACTCGCTGAAGGCCTTGCCACAATCCTTACATTCATAGGGCTTTTCCCCGGTATGAATCCGTATGTGGATGATGAGGTGAGAGGAAGAGCTGAAGGCCTTCCCACATTCCTTACACGCATACGGCTTGTCTCCACTGTGCATCCTCTTGTGTTTGGACAGGGAGGAGGAGCAGCTGAAGGCTTTGCCACACTCCTTACATTCGTAGGGCTTATCTCCGCTGTGAATTCTTTTGTGTTCTGTGAGGGAAGAAGAGCAGCTGAAGGCTTTGCCACATTCCTGGCATTCATGGCTGGTCTTTCCCGTGTGGATCTTCATGTGTGCCCTGAAGAGGGAGGAACAGCGGAAGGCTTTCGTGCATTCCTTACACGTGTAGGGCTTCCCTTCATTGGGAGTGTTCACGTGCTTCTTAAAACAAGCGAGGAAGTGGAAGGCTTTCCCACACTCCTTGCACCGGTAGGGCTTGCTCCCTGTGTGAGAGCTCAGGTGGGCCTCAAGTGATGGATGATCCGTGAAGACCTTGCCACACTCGTGGCATTCGTAGGAACTGACTGCAGTCACGCCCTTGACATTTGGGACTTGGTTCAAGCTGTGTCCACGCTGATGCTCCTCGTTGTATTTATAGGGATTCTCTGCCACGTGACTTAAAGATCAAAAGCACTTTATTAGTAACAGGAATGTACCATTCTCAGTGAATTTGTCTACTTTCTGCCCTATCTGGTTGTATCAGCTGAAAGTTCCACAGAAGGCCTGCACTTCCACTGAGCTTTTGAGCTACAGGATTTTCCTGGTAATTGTTCACAACTGAAGCATGTGCGTCAAATGTCCAAAAACCAAGTATCATTTGCGGGAGAAAATAGACTGGCAAAATTATTTGTGAAATCACAATGTTTGATAAATTTCAGGACTCTTTTATGAGTATCACTCGCCTCAGCTGTCTCTCCTGGTTTTTGTTCCGATAATCAGTATCATGGTATTCCCAGATTTCATGTAAAATGGAAGACCAAGAATCATTCCTTTTGAATCTTAGAATTTTCTGTTCATGGGATGCTTTTTCTCCATACATATCTCGCAGAGCAACTGGTTCCTTAGCTTTTGGTTGTATTTCAAAGGCTGAAACGAAAAAGGGAGGGCACCTGTACACTGAGGACTTTGAGCAGTCTGGCTGTTTCCGCCAGGGTTGAGATGGTTAGCAGCTAAGAAACAGGACAGGTAATGGGCACGGTGGTTAGGCTGGACTGGGAGTGCTTGGGTTGAGTCCCAGCTTCCTGTTAGTAAGCAGTGCAGGAGACAGCAAGAATGGCCCAAGTGCTGGCTTCCCACCACCCTTGGGTGGGCTCCGAAGGGAACTCCCAGCACCTGCCTTTGGCCTGGCTGAGCGTTGGCTGTTATAGGCCTGTAGAAAATGGACCAACGATGGAAAGAGCTCTTTCTGCCTTTCAGATAAATAAAAATAAATAGCAGTGTTTTTAAATGTAAGAAATAATTCTACGGAGAGTGAAACTGCTGGCAAAAAAGTAGACTAGTATAAAGAGAAAGGACAGACAGGAATGGAGCTCCATGCACATGGAACTTACAGGAAGGAATGATATGGGAGGCCTTGGCTAAGGACAGGGAGAACAGTCATTAAGGCATCTGGAGCAGCAGCCTCCTTGGATAAAACAAGGTTGTATGTTTGCTTTTATCTGGTTTACTTTTATCCCAAGGACCGTTTATCCCAAGGATTCTTGCCTTCCTGGTGCTCCATGGGACAGACGTCTTGGGTAAGTCTTCCTCTTGCTGTCTTTGGGGCCTCCGCTTGTAGCTCCTGGGAGAAGAGCTGGGGTGTGTGCAGCAGGTACCCTGAGGGAAGACAATGCAGAGCCACAAGCATTTCTGTGAGATACAACCAAAATCCAGGCTTTCCTGTATGCCAGAGATGGCAAGGCTGAGTTCAACTGCAACAGAATGCCAAGTCTGTTTTCAAAAGAAAGAGCAGGGGGTCAGGGATAGGTGGATGAAACCTCTGATTCCAGAACTGACATGAGTCACAGCTCAATTATACTACAAGCTGATTGGTGCTGGTCCAGTTGAACATAAATAATCTCACAGAATGCCAACTTGGAACAAGGGCACTCTGAGATTGTGACAAGGCTATTTCGCAATGATAGTTTAAGGATGGACCCAGCAAAAAGTTCTACGCTACCTACATCATGCTCAACAACAGAACTGCCTCTAGTTTCTGTCCACACCTGACATGACCACCTGTGTCACAGCTGTTCAAGCTCCCCTAAAGCCGCCCGGACCCCGTGTCAGGGTTCCTGGATCTCAATCCAGCCTCTACGTAACAACCCAGCTCCCTGCTCGCACACACGCTGGATGGAGTCCTGGCGCCTGGCTTTGGCCTGGCCCAACTGCAGCTGTGGTGGGTATCTGGGAAGTGCTCGTGTGGCTTCCAGTAAAAGTAACCATGGGTCTCACTTTTGTGAACCCAATCAACAATGAATGGAAAATATTCAGGAAAACATCATAACTGCACTGGAAACATATAGACTTTTGTCTCCATGTCATTATTCCCTGAACAAGATATACAGCAACTATTCATGTAGCATTTGCATCATATTAGGGATCAGAAATAGATCCTTTTGTGGTTGACACACACAGGAGGCAACATGTGCCTCCCTCCAAATCTTGTTATGATGTCGGCACATTATCCATCTGACGTGAAAAAACTGAGAAATCATTTAGAGATGTAAAGCTGGCGGCTGGGTCTGTGTGGAGTCTGTGCAAACACTACCCTGTTCTTTCAGGACTCGAGTGTGCATGCAGTTTGCCCTCCACAAGGTGTCCTGGAGCAAATCCACATGGATACCAAGGGATGACAGTCAAGTCAGCTGGTCTTCCACAGGAAGCAAAAGCATTGCAACAAGTAAAGTCCTTCCCGATATAGTGCTGGACCAGCTGGGCATCCTCAGGCCTGGAAATATGTCCACACTCTTCACAAAGATTAGCTCAAAATGAGCCACAGACCTAACCCTAATACGTAAGACTAGAAAACTGCAAGACAATGGGAGGAACTGGCATTACACTGTAGTGTAACACATGCAGCTGCCGCTTGTAATGCTAGCATCCCACATTGAGGTTAGCTGGTCCCACACCTGTATGTTCCTGCTAGCCTTTGGGCAAGGAGCCCTGATGCAGTAAAAACCACGAGCTTCCTCCACATGCTGTACAGTGGAGCAGGAAGGCTACATCCACACGTCCTGGCCCAACGAGCCTCAGGGCCTTCAGTCTCAAGGAAAAGGAAGGGCCGGCTCAACACACGCTGTCTGTCATCACAGTGTTGTGCCCTGTGATCTGGGAGCATGCTGGTCTCACGGACCAGTGCATCCTCATTCTTCAGTTAGCAGAATGTTGTCCTCTGGACAGCCACATGGCTGCCCCTCTTACCGAGTGAGGCCAGGTTCCAGCAGGTCTCCAGCATCACCTCTCTGTAGAGGCTCCGCTGAGCAAGGTCCAGCAAAGCCCACTCCTCCCGGGTGAAGTCCACGGCCACGTCCTCGAGGACCACAGAGGCCTAAAACATCCCACAAAGACAGCTAAGAAAGGCACCGTTCCTCCAACATGTGCAAAAGGATGTGTGGGGTGGACAACACTTGGGAACCGAGAGTCCATTTTTGAGATGTTCAGAAGATTCTAGAACATTCTTCACATCTACTCTGAGATTTGGATGTCACATCTCTTTCTCCCTTTCTCCCCCACACACTTCCAGACTGAATCAATCTTGTCACATTCATTTGATAGTTCTCAGAGGCCAATGCCATGGCAAAGCAGGCTGAGCCTCTGCCTGCAGTGCCAGCATACCATAAGAGCACAGGTTCAAGTCCTGGCTACTCCACTTCCCATCCAGCTCCCTGCCTGTGGCCTGGGAAAGCAGTGGAGGACAGCCCAAAGCTTTGGGACCCTGCACCCACGTGGGAGACCCAGAAGAGGCTCCTGGCTTCAGATCAGCTCAGCTCTGGCCATTGCAGCCACTTGGGGAGTGAACCAGTGGATGGAAGATCCTCTCTGTTTCTTCTCCTCTCTGTATATCTGGCTTTTCATTAAAAAATAAATAAACCTTAAAAAAAAAAACAAAGAAAACTATGCTCTTGAAAGCCCAAAATGTTTGCATGTGGCCCAACCCAGGAACAGTTCAGAGACGGCCAGTCATGGTCAGTCATGGTCGCTTGGCGCCTGCCTCTGGCTCACCTGCATCGTGTCCCTCCGTAACTCACACACTGCTCTCTCCCTCGCCAGGTTGCTCCTGAGGAGAAGGTACAGGGAAGGTCTCAGTAAAGCTGGAAGACTCCAGGCACCCCCACTCACTTCCCACGCCCCGAGCCCGAGGAAATGGGGCAGTGGGCCTTGGGACTCTGCACCTGCGTGGGAGACCTAGAGGAGGCTCCTGGCTTCAGATCAGCTCAGCTCTGGTTGTTGTGGCCACTTGGGGAGTGAATCATCGGATGGAAGATCTTCCTCTCTGTCTCTCCTCCTATCTGGCTTTGCAAAAAAAGTAAGTCTTAAAAAAAAAAATTTACAAACTTTGTTGGGATAAATGTTAACAAAAAAACAGAGCAGGCATGAAAATACATAGATGATGAATTTCTACAAGTAATGTGATTGTCCAGGCCAGTTGAGCCAATGAACGAGGACAGACTGTTCGAGTGGTTTCAATCCCAGAACAGAAAGCACAAATGATCACAACAGGATATGAAAACATCCAGGGCAGCTGGGAAACGAATTATGAGAATAAGTCTGCTTCATCTTAGGAATGCAAGCTGGCTAAAAAGAAAGTGTTACCAATGATTAAAATAATTCACAGAATAGGAAAAGATTACCCAGGCCTGTAGACCTCCAACAGTGACGAGCATTCAGGCCACGAGTCATGAAAGAAATTTTTAATCCCCCACCTCAAAAGAGAACAAAGCCACAAGCCGCAGCAAGAATCCTGTTTAATGAGGAAGTAGAATTATTTCTTCCTGGACTAGGGGCCTGGCTGAAAATTTAAATACTGAGCTACTCTAAGCTCGAGGTCTTGGGAAGGGCAGAAAGAAATAAAAAATGAAACATGCCAGAGGGCTAAAAAAAGTTGAATATGACTCTTGAGCAAAGTTTCTGTGAAAAATCTAATCAATCTTGTGACAGATGATCATAATGTATCATGTTAGGACTGACAACTCAGCCAGCTTCTGTGTTAGCTGGAGACAGTCTCCCACGGGTGTCCATGGGCAGCCAAGAGGTGGACACCCAGCGGGGCCCAGGAGTCCCTCCATGGGTGTCCGTGGGCAGCTGAGAGATAGACATCCAGTGGGGCCCAGGCGTCCCCCCACGGGTGTCCACGGCCAGAGTCCAGGCGCAGGGATGGGCACCGAGGCGTCCCCCTGCAGCTCACCTGCATCCGTGGAAATTCACAGGTCAGCGCAGGAGGAGGGCCGCCCGAGGACTGTCCGATCGCGGCTTCAGCCCGCTGGGCCTTGGGGTGACCCGGGTGTGCCCCACCAGGCTTCGGCCTCGCTGTCCAGCGACCACCCGGCCAGCAGGCCAGCAGGCGGCCGGGCCTCGGTGTCCAGCGACCACCCGGCCAGCGGACACGCACCGCTGTGGGAACCCCGAGCGCAGGTGACATGGCGGCCAAACTGCGCGCGCGCAATCTCCGCCTTGGGAGCCGGGGGCGGAGCCTCGGGATTGATGGACAGCCGCCGGGAAGGGGCGGGGCCGACAGCGCAGCAGAAACGCTTGGTTTTTGCCTGCGGTCCTGGACGACAAGGACCACAGCGGTGGGCCAGGCCGCCGCGTAAGCAGCCTAGGGGTGCGGCTTTATAATGTTTCAAATTGAGTCACCGGAGTGGCAGTCAGGGCCCTACTGGTTACAACACAGGCTGTAAATGGTGGCAATCCTGCAAAGCTGATGCAGAGTGAGAGATCCGGCAGTCCTCCAGGCTACCGCGCTGGGCCCTACGTGGTGCATTTAAAAGTACATTGATTTACGTGTTTTCACCTTTTAGCTATTATAAATAATATCCATACCCAAGAGTATTGTTTGGGGGGGGGCAGGCAATGAAGTTTTCATTTTTTGTGTGTCTATAAGTAGGATTCTGTACCTGTCACTTCAGAGCATGGGAGATGGTCAGTGGAGTTCAGTCCCCAGGCGTGGCGTTTACAGAACCCACCCTGAACAACAGAAACTGTACTGGGCAGGGGAACATGAATGTATCAGACTGCTCCAGAAAAGCAAAGGTGCTAACTCACCTGTTACAGTGTTAGAAAGGGGGCTCACTTGCCCTGGGCAGAGGTGACTCATGGTAGGATGGGTCTGGGTCTGGACCAGTATGGGATCATATCCTGAGCGGCCCAGGCCCAAACCAGGAAAACAAATGGCAAGAGCGCTGACAGCAAATGTTAGCGATTTTCACCATTAACCCATGGTAGGGCTGCCGCACTTGTTGGCAAATGTGTGGGTTCGACAGGATTGAACAAACCTTAGTTCACTGGCATGAGGAGCCAGGAGTGCAGACCATCCTGGTCTAGGCTATCACAACTACCAGTTTCCATGAGCCTGGGATGGGAGCAGACTGGGTAGGGTTAGACTGCAGCATCCACCAGCCAGAGTTGGGACTTGGGGCAGGTTGGGACAGGCCAGGCTTCAGCATCTGATGGCAAAGGGCAAGACAGGGAATGGGCTATCCTGAGCTGGGTCAGCGCAACCACTGGCATGCACAAGATCTGTGGCTGAGAATAACCCTGCTTGGGGAGGTAATGGTGGTGCCACAGCTGGGTTGGGGTTCCCATTGGTGAGCACGGGAACCGGAATAAGTGCAGCAATCTGGGCCGGACATGGCTGCACTGTCCCTCAGCATGGATCTGGGAGGTACCAGACTGGGCTAAACTCCAGCACTCACTGGCATACATGAGAGCCAGGGTGGGTATAGAATGGGCTGGGCTAGGTTTCAGCTCCCGCTGAGCCATGTGAGAGCTGTGGACCAGGAGTGGTTAAGATGTAACACCAAATAGTAAGAACCGGAATGGGTGTGGACCAACCAGTTGGGTAAGGCCACTGTTCTTGCCAGGACAAGTAGACTAATTCATGCTGGGCCAAAGACCCACTGGTGTGTGCGAGATCTACCGTTGAAAGGAGACCTGATAGAGGAGACTTGGGAACTCCTTTGTCACAACACAGTCCCTGTATATCTAGTGCAAGAACCAAGGCTGGGAGCAGCACAGGCTGGGCCAGTGCATGGTAGGCAATGGCAGATCACCAGGATGGGGCTCAGGATAGGCAGGGTCAGGCTGCAGCACCAGCTGGTTCAAATTTAGGACTGGGACTGGGGTCAGTCCAGGCTGGGGCTAGGTGGTAGAAACCAGCAGTAGGAGCTGGAATCAGGCTCAGACTGGGCCAGGCTACAGCACCAGCCAGCAAATACTAAGGTGAGATGGGCCATACCAGACTGGCTGTAACACCCACAAATACATGTGAGACCTGGTGGGGAGGGGTGTGAGCCCCATAGAGGTGCAGCACAATCTTCCCTGGAGGGTCACTGATCTCACTGGTGTGAGAACTGGAACTGGGGCATACTAGGTCAGGCAGGACTAATCTGTTGGCCTGCATGTGACCTGGGTTGGGGGAGAGCCAGGCTGGGCTAAGGCACTATATCCACTGGTGTATGCATGAGCCAGAGTAAGTGCAGGCTGAGTAGCCTTTGCTACAGCATAGGCTGGCAAGTGCTGGGACTGCGGGAAGTGCCTGTCAGACTAGAATGAAGAACCACCCGGAGAGTGCAAGATCCAGGAATGGAAATGGGCCTGATATGGAAACTATGGACACCTCTCTGATGGGCTATAACTCCCACAGGTGAGCATGGGAAACAGTGCTGGGGGTGGGCCTTGCTAGACAGCTCAGCACCCACTGACATGAGTGTGGGTTAGATGGTGGAGTTGGTTGGGTTAGGCTTCAACCCCCAATGATGTGTACAAGAGCTCAGTGGGATGTGGGGAAGATTGAACCAATCCATGTACATACTGGCAAGTACAGGAACCGGCGGGTAGGGGGTGGGGGTTGGCCTGGTGGGAGTTACCAGAGATCTGACTGGGTCTGAAGCTCCTGCTGATGTACATGAGGGCTGAGTGTGTGGTGGGCTGGGTTGGTGTGGTCCACAGCACCCATTTGTTTGCATAAGGAGAAATAATTGACCTGGTAATTGTAATTCCCAGTGTGTGCACAGGCTGATGTGGGTGACTGGCAGAGCTAGACTCTGCACTAGAAAATACACACAAAAATCAGGTCTTGGATTACTTCTTATGAGGTCTCTTTGGAGATCCTCCCAACAGAACCGCTAGGCTCAGAACTCTAAACATATGGAGAATTATCTGGAGGATTGATGGACTGACCACAGAGTGCATGTGTTAGAACTGGGTCTCCTCAGCAGAAAAGATGGAGCAGAGGACAGCATGCTCAAATGCACATGGAGGACAAGGTGGCCCATTGGAGCCTGCAGAGGACATCTGGTGTCACAGCAAAGACAAATCAACAAGTGACGACAGCAAATACCTGAGCAAACAGAGACTCTGAGGTGTGCTACGTCAACCGATGGACCTTGGAAGGATTTCCTCATCCTTGGATCGGTGACAGATAGCATTTCAGTACAACTGAAACCACTTTAGGAGAACCCTTGCAGCGAGCTCTGCACTGGGGATCCTTGAGCTGATGTAGTTGCTTTGGCTGCCTTCATAATTTTCAAGGGGACTGGGGGAGTTGGGCACTGGGTGTGGCTTCTCCACGTCTCCCCTCTTCCTCCAGATACAGGAGGAAGAAAAAGAAAATTCTGAAACAATGGTTTCACCCACTTTGTCCTAACCCTCAATCTTTCCCATCCTGATCAGCTATGTAAACATCATCAAAAAATAATTCCAGCCATATTAAATGATAAAGAAGGTATTTCAAACAAGTATTACAATCTGTTTATTTGCTATCAAAATTGGAATGTGAAAGCAGAGCTCATTCATTTTCACACTCAACAGGGAAGATCAAATATAAATTGCACCAGAGTCCAGCTCCAGCTGAGTTCGGAGCTCGAGAACGGTGCGTGAAATAGGCGTAGAAAGAAGAGACGGACCACTACAATTCCAACATCATTGTGGACCTGCGAGAAAGCTGTCCGCTTTATTTATACAGAAGCAGTACACGGTTTTCTTTTAGGGCATTCTGACATAGCTTCAAGGGGGGCACAATTTACAACTGCTTGAGAGATGAGTGAGGGAAGACCCCACATTCCTTGCTCATCTCAGCTTGCCAGCCGCCACCTACTCCCCTCAAGTCTGGGTCCCATCCTTGGCGCCACCTGTGACAACTGGACCCCTACCTTGAATTACGTAAGGGAAAAGGTCTGAGGCCTTGGTTTATGGGAACTGGGGCATTGACACCAAAGGTCATTAGGCCTGCAGGCCCACAGAGTTTGTTAACTAAGTAAGAGTTATGACGATGGAAAGAATTGCAATTAGCAATGAGCCATGTTTACTCCATTTAGGTTTCCACATTCAACAATGGGCAAGTAAATGTTTCCAAAGATAACTCTACAGATAGTTTCACCTTAAGACAGGACAGTATCCATTCTGATGTTGCAGCCAACATTTTCTCAGTAGATAACACATCTTATTCAGTAATACATTCCTACTACAATTCTTATTCTACAACTTATCCATCACTTAATGAGAAATACATCAAAAGAGAAAAAACATAAAGATCTAAGACAAAAGTTTCAAACATTAAATCCCTCTACAACTGCAGGTTCTACAACCTCATAAATGATCAAACAATAATCAAAACTATATATGTTCATAAAATCACCTTATATTTCTTCTAGTTAAAAAATTATGAAGGCAGCCAAAGCAACTACATTTACTATGTTCTAAAGAGTTGCAAGGACAGGCTAACCTTTAAGGTCACAGTAACTATATTTTTGCCATAGCAGGATAGCTTTTAGGGTCTCAGTAGCTATATTTTTTGTCATAGCAATTTCAGCCCATACTCCCATTACTTCCATTAGTTTGTAAAACTCTTATCAAGCCATTTCCCAGAAAGCATGCTAAATGTTTGGGCCAGATTTCAGAGCAATGGGTAGGCACACAATAAGGTGTGTGGAAACAGCATGGGCTTAATTGTACTTCTGTGCAGGTAAAGGCCCACTCACCAAGACATTATCAGTAACATTAACTTTTAAGCTCATGTTGGTTGTAAAAAGCCATCTCACAGGGGCAAACTATGCCTAATAGATTGCAAGATTCTTAGTGGGGTGGTTGAATGTCCATGCGAAAGGGGGTGAAAATTGTGTCAAGGTGGTCAGAGAAATGTGCCGGGCCCTGCCAAGCAGGGGAGCTGTTCTCTTCACACCTTCGTGTTATTCACACCTGCTGCACAGACCCCAGCAAAATTGCATCTCAAAAGCAGATTTTAAGAATACATATCCTTGGGCCTGGTGCAGCCGTTGCGCTCACTGGGGGAGTGAACCATTGGATGGAAGATCTTCTCTGCATATCTTTGTGGTAAAAATTAAAAAATAAATCTTAAAAAAAAAAAAATATCCCAACCCTGCTATACAATACTTCATGCAATTTCTTTAACACTTGCTAAGATCTTCAAAGCTTTTCCATATTCATTACATTTTATAGTAATCTTGCTAATTCTCATTTTTCACAATCAAGGCACTGAGTTTATTTCTGTAACACACTGCTGACTTGTGACTCTTGGCAAAAATAACTATAGTATATATTGCACTCAAAATGTCTTATACATAAATTTCTTTCATACTTGTTCATGCATGAATTTTGTGAAAATGTTTTCCACTCATTAAGTTTCTTCTTCGTGAATCTGCAGATGACTTCAAGTAATAAATTTACCATACTCACTACATGCATATCATTTCCGCCTTTGTATGAATTCTCTGATGTTCAGTGAGAGATGACCTCCGGCTAAAGGCTTTTTCGCACTTATTACATTCATAAGGCTTCTCCCCTGAGTGGATTCTCTGATGTCTAATGAGAGATGACCTCCGGCTAAAGGCCTTTCCACAATCATTACACGTGTAAGGCTTTTCCCCCGTGTGAGTTCTCTGATGTCTGCTGAGATCTGACTTTGCCCAAAAGACTTTACCACACTCACTACATGTATAAAGTTCTTGCCCTGTGTGGGCTCTCTGATGCTTAATGAAATCTGATTTCTGGTTAAAAGCCTTTCCGCACTTCCTGCATTCGTAAGTCTTCTCTCCTGAGTGGATTCTCTCATGTCTAATCAGATTTGATTTCCAGTTAAAGAATTTCCCACAGTCTTTACATGCATAAGGTTTCTCCCCTGTGTGAATTCTCTGATGTGTAATGAGATCTGACTTATCCCAAAAGACTTTACCACATTCACTACAAGTATAACGTTTTTCCCCTGTGTGAATTCTTTGATGTTTAATGAGATTTGATTTCCAGTTAAAGAATGTTCCACACTCTAAACATGCATAAGGTTTCTCTCCTGTGTGGATTCTCTCATGTCTAATCAGATTTGATTTCCAGTTAAAGAATTTCCCACAGTCTTTACATGCATAAGGTTTCTCCCCTGTGTGAATTCTCTGATGTGTAATGAGATCTGACTTATCCCAAAAGACTTCACCACATTCACTACAAGTATAACGTTTTTCCCCTGTATGAATTCTTTGATGTTTAATGAGATTTGATTTCCAGTTAAAGAATGTTCCACACTCTAAACATGCATGAGGTTTCTCTCCTCTGTGGATTCTCTGATGATTGAAGAGAGCTGACTTCTTGCAAAAAACTTTTCTACATTCATCACATTCATAAAGTTCCTCACTGGAATGACTTTTCTGATGAACTACTAGGGAAGAGTTGCTGCAGAAAGCTTTGTCACACACACTGCATTCATAGGGTTTCCTCCTTTGACGAGGTCTCTGTTGTGTTTGGAGGACTGACTTCCTACAAATGGTATTTCCATGCTCATACCATTGGGATGGCAGCTCTCCTGTGTGAACTGTCTGATTTCTAGTGAGGTCTGGCTTCTGATAAGTGAATTTTCTACATTCACCGCACACACACAGATTTTCCACTGTCCCAGCTCTGTGTTTGGTGGTAAGGCAAGATGAATCGCTGAAAGGTTTTTTGCAGTAGCCACATGTATGCTGACTTTCTGTCCTGTTTCTTCTAAGATGTGTTTTGTAAATAGAGAATTTTTCACTCTCGAAGTGTTCAAGGAGTTTCTCTCCAGAGTATGCTTGCTGATGCTTGCCAATGGAGGGATTTTTGGGGAAAGTTTTCTTTTCAACCTGAATTTCTTCTCCCACCATGGCACGTGGCTTATCACAGCTGTTTCTGTTGCAAAGCTTCTTACGTGTAAAGCACATCTTCTTCCTGCTAAAGGTTTTCCCTTTCCTGCTATGTTCAAAAGACTGCTGCACAGTGTGCCTCTTCACATGCTGCCTGAGATTGTTCCTGCATGGAAATCTGCTCCCAGGTACATCAAACACATCCTGTTGTTTCTCAAACGGCATCTCATCAGGACTCCTAGAAAAAAGCAACTCTGAAATAAATGATATTCCTCAAATTTCTTTTCTGTACACGTTCCCATTCACACCATCAGTTTCAAATATGGCCAGAACTTCAATTAAGTATCTTTAACAACCTTTGTTAGAATTTTGTTTGTTAAAAACTTTAAAGCCTTTTGCGAGTGATAAATTGTACTCATGATCACAACTTGCCTGAAGCTTATTTCTTGACGTCCCTGATTATCACCAAGCAGCTCATCCTTTCTGTGGGAATCTGAAATGAGAAACTATATTCATCAGTCACATCTAAGTATTTCTTCTCAAACATGCATCTGAAGTCAATGTTGACTGCTCTGCTAATGGATCAGGCAGAGAGAGAAACAGAACCCTCTACTGTTTAACTTTGTGAGTGCTTGCAAAGCTCATCATTTCCTTTATTTGCTACTACATGCGAGCGAGATGCAGAGAAATAACAAAATGATCCATAATGACCAATCAATCATTCACTAGCTCTCAAATTGATGCAACTGCATGGACTGTATCTACCAAACAGAGGAATGTAATTCAAGCACCTCAAACAAAATAAGACAGTGCCTCTCTGCTGGCCATTAACAAGCCCTGAAATAATCAATCATTGAAAAAATAATCTGAAGGGAAAACATGTGTGAACGTAGGCTGAGGAACAAATGAGAAATTCCGGAATATATCTACCCTAGGAAATAACCATTGTAATCCGACAGTGTCTTAACAGTTTTCATAAATCTGAGAAAATATCCTCTAAGAGTACAAAAATCTGACACAATACTATCTAAGAGGAGAAAAACTGGAACATACAAACACACATGTACATAAATATAAACATGATTCTTGGAGACCGTAGAACGCCTGTGTCTGATGCATGGCATCAGCTGTCCTTACGGATGAAACTTAAAAAAAAGCGAAAAAACCATTTAACTAGAATTCTATCACCATTTCCTGAGCCATGTATCAGCCTCCCTGCCCAGTATGTGCCGACTTACATGAAAGTGTACAGTGTCCACATTTTTCCACCGTCCATAGCATTTCTCCTTGCTCCAACTTGAAGATCAGAGTAGGCTTGGTCATTTCATACCCTGTGAATGGGAAATAATGCTAGATGCTTGTGGGGGACATACACACAGGAGAAAAGCTTGGTTCCGGGATCTGTGCCACAAAAGGACTAATACGAATGATTTACTGGAGCGTAGATACATTCTTTATAGACTCAACCATTAGAATTACCAGGCACTAAACTTTATAAACTGGTCCTTCTTTCGTCGACTAAGAAAGCAGTCTGCTTGGGCACGACAGATTTTCACTCACCCAAGGACAGCAGATTGCTATAGGTCTCAAGCATCACATCCCTGTACAGGGTCCGCTGAGCATTGTCCATGTGCTGCCATTCCTCCTGGGTGAAGTCCACAGCCACGTCTTCAAATGACACCAGCACCTGGAACAGCACATTTCCCTCAGCCCTGGCTCACTCACACACTGACACTGCATTCTCCTCCTCATGTTTAACTGGCACCTTCTATGCATGCAGTCTACATCGCAATCTACGTGACAATACAAGGTAAAAACAAAATGAAAAGATTTTGTCCTGAATTCAATTTGTAATTAAAAAGTACAACAGAATATTTCTCATCATTCTGTCACTGACTGCTTAATGATTCTGAAATGAGCTCACTGTGTAATTTACAGACGTAAATATAAACACATGACATAAAGATCATGGTAGATGAGATAAAGAAGACATGATTAATCGTGGTCAGAATAAGATAACTTCTGAATAGTTTTTGGAGGGATTTAAAAAAATTTATTTTAAGGATTTTATTTTTATTACAAAGTCAGATTTACAGAAAAGGAAACACAGAGAGGAAATCTTCCATCTGCAGCTTCACTCCCCAAGTGAACAGCCAGAGTTGAATCATCTAAAGCCAGGAGCCTCTCCAGGTCCCCCACGCGGGTGCAGGGTCCCAAGGCTTTGAGCTGTTCTCCACCAATTTCCCAGGCAGAAGCAGGTGGCTGGAAGAGAAGTGGAGAAGCGGGGATCCCAGCAGTTACTTGCAAGGCAAAGATTTAGCAACTAGGCTACCATTCTAAGCCCTACATAATGTTTAAGACTGTACTAAAAAAAGTTAAAGATTTTTGATATATTTATAAAAATGCTCAAATATTTTTGATGTTAAAAAAGCCTATAAAGCAATATTACTAAAATTGGAAAAATTGAAATGTTAGAAATATTTTAAAATATATATTTTTAATTTTTAAAAAGATTTTATTTATTTATTGGAAAGTCAGATATACAGAGAGGAGGAGAGACAGGAAGAATTTATATTGCCATGAAGATCTTAATTTTTCAATGCTGCCATCCACAGTGACTGAATTAATCTTCAATCCCTGAACATTGTGAAAAAGTGCAACTTTTCCAACATCATCATCAGCATTTGTTACCCTTTGTCTTCTAAACAGCCATTCTGACAGGCTTGAGGTGACAGCTCATGCAGATTTAGATTTACATATCCCTAATGGCTACTTAGGTTGAGCATTTATCTGTTTTGACAACCATCTACTGGGGTCCTTTGACCATTTTATCATTTGATTGGAGATTCTTATGTTGTTAAGGCCACATGGAGATTAAAAAACAAAATTGGCAATCTGAACACACTCTGTCATGCTATTTGCCAAATTTTTCAATGAGTGTAGAAAGTGAAGTCAAGGGCCCAGCATGGTAACCTAATGGCTAAAGTCCTTGCCTTGAATGCACCGGGGAGCGTTTCCCAGTTATGGGAGATCTTTTTCTCTGTCTCTCCTCTCCGTAAATCTGACTTTCCAACAAAAATAAATAATAATTTAAAAAAGTAAAAGGTCAAAATGGGTGAAAACTACAATGAGATTTCATTCTTGTCTAGAGGAAAATGCCTTTGGAAAGCACTCTAGTAATATGAGACAATAAATTCAAAGTACAATCACTGGGACCGGCGTGGTGGTATAGCAAGCTAACTCTCCACCTGAGACATCAGCATCCCATGCTCGTGGCAGTTTATGTCCTGCTTTCTTCACTGTGATACAGCCTCCTGCTGTGGCTTAGGAGCAGAGGATATCACAAAAGATCAAACCCTTGCCCCTGCACCATGTGGTAGATCTGGAAGAGGCTCAGGTTCTTGGCTTTGGATTGGCCCAAGGTCTTGCCATTGCATATCGGGTTCCCTCGTCCAGCGAGCAAGACTCCGACATGGTACACATTCTTTACAAGGTTTTATTATTCAAGAGGCAGCAAGCATATAGCAGAAGAACTGAGAATGCAAGCACAAAGCAAAGGGGAAGCAGCCACAGCATGCTGCTTGGTCTTCCAACGTGAGGAGACAACCTTCCTCTTGCCGCCCATTCTTTTACCTACATCATTAACCAATCCCCTTAAAGGTCACCATAGCATGCAGCAAGCACACCAATCATGGCTCTGATCACGTGCACATCATACAGCTTCCATGCACGCTCGACCCGATCCTCTGCGACTTCCCTAAACTTGTGTACCACCTCTGCGCCATGAGGAAGTGGTCTTGGGGCACGAATCCTCTCTCCACAATTGCACCCTTCTGTAGAGTGAATGTGGAAGCTCTCTCTCCTTTTCTCGGTAACTTTGCATTTCAAATCAAGGAACACGTAATAGGGGAGAGCCCTGTGATTTAGCAGGTGGCCACTGCCATCCCGCATGGCACGGCTTCATCTCCTGAATGTTCCAATTCTGATCCAGGTCCCTGCTAAAGCGCCTGGAAAGGAAGTGGATCACGCAAGCACTCGTGTCTTTGCACACAAGTGGGACACACTAAACTCCTGGCTCATGCTTCAGACTGGCTCACCTCTGTCCGTTCTTGACTTTTGGGTAGTAAACCAGCTGATGGTGGATCTGTCCCTTTGTCTATCTCAATGGTTTTGCCTTTAAGACCAATACATAAATCTTCAGAAAGAACCTGCAAGGCATTGTTGCATAGCAGGTTAAGTTACTTCCTGCTCCATGTCCAGCGCAGCGATCTACCAACGTGTGCTGCAAAACAGTGGAAGATGGTCCAGGAATTTGGGCAGGAGATTTCCACGGGAGGCCCAGATGAACCTCTTCCTGTTTCTCTCTGACTTAATCCGTTCTGACCATCGTGACTAGCTGTTGGAGAACGGAACAGCCAACAGCAGATATGCCTGTCTCTCTTTCTGCAACTCAGCTTTTAAAACAAACAAACAATAGTTATCAAAAGATCATGCAGCTGATTCTAAATTCCACCCATTCCTGGAGCAGCTCATGAATGTAGTATAACCTCCAAATGCCATTAGGAACAAACTGCTATTTCAGTAATTACAAAAAAGAAAACCTGGGAATTTAATAACTAGTGTGCTTTTTCTTTTCTTCTTATACTCAGTAACTCTTACCACTGCAAAACGTTGATTGATTATTTCTAGGTTGGTACTAAAGTGCTTTCATGATCTCGTTTATAAGATCAATACATACAATTTCAGACTTGATATCCCACAAGAATGAATGAATTCTTAGCCTCAATTTGAATCATGGCATCAGAAAGCCTGGAGAGAGCTACAATCAGGTTTCACAGCCCTAATGCCTTAGTCATGACACTTTACAGTGCTTACCACAACTTGTTTCTCCTTTTTCAACTAAAAAAACCTTCAAAACTCCTAGCACGCAATGTAAAACAAGCTGAGAAGCAACTTACCGAAGCAGTGTTCATGTTCTCTGGCTTTGCAGACATTTTGTGGGCCGCCCCCCGGCTGCTGCCGAGCCCGGCGTCCTTCCGACGGCTCCCGCGGGGCAGCGAGCAAACAGGGCGGCCGCGGTGAGCCACCCGGGGCCTCTCCGGGACGCACGGCCGGCACCCGCCGACCCGCCGACCTGCCGACCCGCCGACCGACCGACCGACCGACCGACCGACCGACCGATCGACCCGCCGACCCGCCGACCCGCCGACCCGCCGACCGACCGATCGACCCGCCGACCCACCACCGACACACCACCGACACACCACCGACCCACCACCGACACACCGCACGCAGCGAGCCCGGGCGCGCCTGTGGCGTCAGAGCAGCCGCAGCCAATCAGCGCGCGCTGGGCTTGGGGGCGGTCCCTCGGGGTTCGGACGGGAGGGATGAGGGGCGGGGCTTCGCCTCAGGCCTGAAGCGACCGCGTCTCCTGCAGCTCGAGCCTTTGTCCTGCAGGGGGCGCTGTGGCCTCAGAGCGTTCCGGCGCGGCCGCCTCTCCCGCTCCTTCTCTGACGTCACAGGCGCGCCGGGGCTCGCTGCGCGCGGCGTGTTGGTGGCGGTCGGCGGGTGCCGGCCGTGTGTCCCGGAGAGGCCCCGGGTGGCTCCCCGCGGCCGCCCTGGTTGCTCGCTGCCCCGCGGGAGCCGTCGGAAGGACGCCGGGCTCGGCAGCAGCCGGGGGGCGGTGAGTGTGCGCGGCCGTCCCCTCAGGCCCTGCGACCCTCAGGCCTCCCACGTGTCCCGGTGGCGCGGCGGGAGTGGGCGAGTCCTGGGAGGCCGGGGGTGTGGGTCCTCGTGTTCGTGGGCACGGCGTGTGCGGCCCCCAGCTGCAGCTCTCAGGCCCGGGCCTGCGGGGTCCGCGTCGGCTTGGTGGTGTGGAGGGAGAGCCGAGCAGGGACTCCGGCGGCTGGGAAGGCGGTGCTGTGGCCCTGGCGGGTCGCCCGCAGGTTGCGGTGTAGCTGGCAGAGCGCCCTTGTGGAGAAGTGGGGGGAGCGCAGAGGGCTGAGCCGACGTGGCTTCCCTGTCAGAACCCGAGGGAAAAGCCGAGAAGCCGCCAGTTGCCCGAACTGACTTCAGATGGCTTCTCCTGTGGTCCCGCTGGTTCCCTCTGTAAGTTCTCATCGTGGGGAAGAAATGCCCTGGTGAGATGCGGAGGAGTCAGTCAGGCCCCATAGAGAGCAGTGAGCCTGGGAATACATCTCTAAATGTGCAGAACGCTTCCCGATTCTGTATATCCTACCTCCGGAAAAAAAAAATCATGTATTCTCCATAAGAGTAGGTAGGAAGAAGGAAAACATCTTTTAATTTTGCTTGTCTGTTCAGCGCATTTCCAAACAGACCTGACCCTGGTGTTACTTGGGCTGTGTGCTAACTCAGCCTAGTGGTCAGAGCAGGTGGTCACTAGGTCTCCTCCTGAGGTGATGCGTCAGTAAAACAGGAGCTATCAGTGCATGGTCACAGATGCTCTCGGTAGCCTTGACCCTTTGTCGTGGATATAGGTGAGGTAAAGCCTGACTGAGGGTGGCAGTGCCTGCCAGTTACAGAGCAGAAGGGATATACTCGCAAGCACTTTGATGTTTCAAGCTCAGATGGAAAGAAGGAAAGCCCCAATTCCTTCATCTTAGGAGGGCTGATACATTTATGCACTAATGCTGGATTCCGAGACAGGAACTTTGAAGAGGCCATGTGGGGAGAACCCAGTGAAATGAGAAAGGGCTACAGATACCCTGAAAAATCATAGAGAATCTGCTCCTAAGGGTGAAAATATGGTTGTCATCAATAATTTCATAATGTATGCATGTATCAGATCACAACATTGCAAGGCATTCCACACAAAGTATTGCGTCCATTCAAAAATAAAATAAAATTATTTAAAAATGCATAAAGAAGTAGGCAGCAGGCCAGCTTGCAGTTTGCACGTGACAAAATAGGAAGCAAGATTTCCTCAGAGGTGGGCTAAATCCCAAACTCAAACCCGTCTTTCACCACCCCATCTTTCACCACCTTGCCTGCTTTTAAAGAATAGCCACACGCTGCTGAGAGCTCTAACCACATACCCTCCTTTAACTCAGACTTCCCAAAAGCCTAAGAATTTGGTGCACCGTTATCCATTGTCATCCAGAAATTACTGGTGCTGGCAGTGACCCTCAGAGACTCTAAGTAGTTTCCTGGGTCACACAGCTATTACATGGTAGAACCAGGATTTGAGCATAAGTAAGCTTGTTTCCAAAAATAGATGACTTAACTACGAGGTTCTAGTCTCATAACCACCAATGGCCATGAAAAGAGCTATATGCTAATTCTTATTCCAAATACTTAATGTATCTTATTTTAATATTCACCAGTCTTTGATATTGGTACTTTTATCATCATCATTTGATAAGGTTTTTTTTTGGAGCCAAATGCCACGTGGTTTCCCCAGAGTTGCAGGGCTAGCAGGTGCACCATCACACTCCATATTTTCTACTCTTAACAGGGCTCATGGTCTAGAGGCTCTCAACTGTGCATCAATGAGTTCAAATTCTGATGGGGCAGAGTGCATATAAATTTATAAGTGTACTTGTCACTGGTTTGATTTAAAAAATTATTATCTTTAAAAGATTCATTTAAAAATTTTTTTTAAAGATTCATTTGTTGGGCCCGGCGGTGTGGGCTAGCGGCTAAAGTCCTCGCCTTGAACACGCCAGGATCCCATATGGGCGCTGGTTCTAATCCCGGCAACTCCACTTCTCGTCCAGCTCCCTGCCTGTGGCCTGGGAAAGCAGTGGAGGACGGCCCAGAGCCTTGGGACTCTGCACCCATGTGGGAGACCTGGAAGAAGTTCCTGGATCCTGGCTTCAGATCGGCATAGCATCGGCCGTTGCAGTTACTTGGGGAGTGAATCATCGGACGGAAAATCTTTCCCACTGTCTCTCCTCCTCTCTGTATATCTGACTTTCAATAAAAATAAATGTTTAATGATTCATTTGTTTTTATTTTAAGGTAAGATTTGCAGAGAGAAGGAGAGAGAGGATATGCTAGTTCACTTCTCAGGAGGCCGCAATGGCCAGAGCTGATCGGATCCGAAGCCAGGAGCTTCTTCCTGGTCTCCATGGGGGGTCCCAAGGCTTTGGGCTGTTTTCTGTGCTTTCCCAGGCCACAAGAAGGAGGCTGGATGGGAAGTGGAGCAGTTGGGACTAGAACCAGGGCCCATATGGGATCCCAGTGGATGCAAAGGTTGGACTTAGCCATGAGACTATGATGTTATTGTTTTTTGTGCTCAGTCTCTGGCCCAATGACATATATTTTTAAAAGATTTATGTATTTTTTTATTGGAAAATAAGGTAGAGAGGATGATCTTTTTTTTTCAACAAAGATTTATTTTTATTATTTTTTTATTGGAAAGGCTGATTTACAGAGAGGAGAGACAGAGAGGAAGATCTTCCGTCCGATGATTCACTCCGCAAGTGAGCGCAACGGGTCGATACTATGCAGATCCGAAGCCAGGAGCCTCTTCCGGGTCTCCCACGCGGGTGCAGAGTCCCAAAGCTTTGGGCTGTCCTCCACTGCTTTCCCAGGCCACAGGCAGGGAGCTGGAAGGGAAGTGGGGCAGCCGGGATAGAACCGGCGCCTATATGGGATCCTGGGCATGGAAGGCGAGGACCTTAACCACTGCGCCACTGCGCCGGGCCCAAGAGGAGGATCTTCTATCTGATGATTCACTCCCCAAGTGTCCGCCATGGCCAGAGCTAAGCCAGTCTGCAGCCAGGAGCCAGTTTCTTCCACGTCTCCCACGCATGCACAGAGTCCCAAGGCTTTGTGCTATCCTCGACTGCTTTCCCAGGCCACAGACAGGGAGCAAAGTGGAAAGCAGCGCTGCTGGGATTAGAACCAGCGCCCATCTGGGATTCTGGTGCATGCAAAGTAAGTTCTTCTGCGACTAAGCTCCCTCACTAGGCTCAGGCCCAATGATCTTAAGATTTTAGGGATGTACATACCAGACAATAGGCAAGTTTATGGTAAAGAGAAGGTAACACCTGCTATCTGCTAACTTTAGCAGTGCATAGTCTGACCTTTGACTCTAAGGCCCCTACTAACTCCAGATGAAGAAAGATTTTAATTGCTTTGTAATTAGTTCATAGTGATAAGTTGGTATTTAGCAAACATAGCATGCTTGCTCTTAGAAGTGATAACAAGGACCTAGCATGACAACCTGGTGCTAAAGTCCTGGCCTTGCACATGCTGAGATCCCAAATGGGTGCCAGTTCTAATCCTAGTGGCCCTCCTTCCCATCCAGCTCCCTGCTTTGGTAGAAAAGCAGTCCAGGATAGCCCAACATCTTGGGACCCTGCTACTGTGTGGGAGAGCTGAAGGAGGCTCCTGGCTTCACATCAGCTCAGCTCCAGCCCTGGCGGCCGCTTGGGGAGTAAACCATCAGAAGATCTTCCTCTCTGTATATCTGACTTTACAATAAAAATAAATTAAATATTTTAAAAAGCAGTGATAACAACCAAATAGCCCACAGGTCACACCCTACAGTTGGTATTGAGTGGTTGCATAAAATAACTCAGATTCTGGAGGAGGCATTCCAGGCTGTTTGGAATCACATTTGTACAGTTCTGGCTGCTTTGGATTCCCTCGGTCAGTGGAGTGAGCCCCCCTAGGCTCTGTGTCCTCAGCGAGAGTGATCCCCAAGACCTGGGAACCTGGATAAGCTTCTGAGTGTGAACCCCTTGTGAAGTGTAAGCTGGCTGCTTCCCAGAGCTCATTTTCTGTCATATTCTGTGCTTTCATTTATACTGTGTCCACTTGTGTAGGAATTACATGCCATGAGTTGGATGTTACATCTTTGTTCTCTTGTATGGAACCTGAGTTTATTCAATGATCTCAGAAAGATAGAAAATTCTTGACATCTTTATTTTCTGCAAATTTCAGCAGGACTGTAAACACCATAAACCAGGTGAGAAGGGAAAAAAGCCTTTGTCAGTTCAGGCCTTGGTCTTTTGTAGCTCTGTTCCCACAGGTGACGCATTGCTGACTCTTTGATGTTTGATGTTTTTGATTGCTTCAACTTTATTTCTTTGATTGATGCAGTACAACAGCCTAGGTTACTCTGTTACTCGCACCTGCCTG